CATCACGTCCAGCTCGTCGTCACCCGAAGACGCCCAGGATACACTCATGATGTCGACAAAAGAAAAGGAAAAGTCGGCGTAAATAAATGAAATATGATGGAGAATTCTTACCACAAGAAGTCGTCCGAGAATCTGAAGTGCTTTGAGTACAGATGACAGGTGATTAATTTGCAAAAGAAGCGGAAAATATGAGTGCAAGAAGAAGATGAAAGTAAAGTAGATCTCAAAAGAAAAATCCCTATTTATATCAAGCCCTAGATCGAAGCGACCGTTGAGAACCGATGGAAATAGGGGCGTGTGAATTACACATTCTAGATCTGCGAGTTGACGCAACCCTTGGAAATCGTGCCTCTTTATAATAGCTACGTGGCCTATTTTAAGTGACCGTTATCCCTATAAATAAAACGGTGCAATTAATTTCAATAAAGCATGTCGTTTCAGCTTTCAAGTATCATTTTTACAAGTGCGAAGACATCGGGTGCAGATGACAGAACCGATATATCGCATTAATACAGGAATTTTGTCAAGGTCTGTTGCAATTTCAGCATCACTGCCCGTCTTCTATCCAGACGACCATTAATGTTGGGGGCCACCTTGTTGATATCATTTTCAGTAAGCCAGATTAAGTGACATTAATTCGCTGATTGGGATCAGTATAATGGTAATCAGGGTTCATGCAAGCAAGTGACGCTTCCACCAGCTTCAAGATGACTACACAATGAAAGATTCAGCAAGAACCGACATCTTTACTAGTTGACCGATATCACATGTCGGTCAACACATGTCGGTTAACACATGTCGGTCAACACATGTCGGTCAACACATGTCGGTCAATACATGTCAGTCAATACATGTCAGTCACAACATATCGGTTATAACTGGGTGAACCGATATCTATAACATGCCACCTCAGCATGGTAAGGCGGTGACAACTCAGCATAACTCATCATTACATTTATCCAAGTGGCAAGCTATCAGGAGAAGCAACTAAGGACCGCCTTTGACCTTTCAAAGTGTAATGATTATTGTACAGATAAATATTATACGTAAATATAAAAGGAAAAGGGAGAATTCCCCAGGAAGGACGGACAATAACAATACCTTACAGAAAAATTACGTCTCCAGTAATAATATACAAGCTTTTATCGTTGAACACTTAGCTTTACCTCTAATACATTCCAGTTTGGTTGTTGTTAATTTCCATTTTGACAACAGGTATACTTAATTTTAATTTTTTTATTATATCTAAAATCCAATTTCAATATTTATTTTTAAAATTTTATTATCATTATTATTATTTTTAATTTTTTTTAAGCAACTCAAATTTCATAATGATTGCTTCTTGTTTTACAAGAGAATGCTTTCCAGCGGTCCAAGATTATTATTAGTTCTGATTCTGATAGTGGCCCAACCCGTCCACACTATCTTTTAATGTAAATGAAGCCCAATCCAAGTTTGAGGAATATTGTTTTGGGCTGGGATCCTAATATTTTCTGTAGATTAAAATATTATGATCCAAATTAAAATTCCACAATAATTGCTTTGGTTGTCAATCTAAAAGTTTTGAGGATAAAGAATAAAATTTGGGCTGGTATGTTATCATTACTTTTTCACGAAATTACAAAATATATATGCATTACAAATTTTAAGTATTTATCATAAACAATATTAAAATTTAAAAGTACTTTTATTGGTAGTTTAATATACGTATTTTAGTATTTTACCAAACATTATTAAAAATCATATGCATTTCGATGGTCAAAGATGCTACTACCATCAGCAAGCCAAAACAGTGAATAACAGCTAACAAGAAGTATGATAAAAAAAACAACCTAAAAGCGCTTGGATGAGATGGCTTGGGTCTCTTCCAGCTTAATTAGTGGTCTCGTGTTCGAGCCCAACTCTTGAGGGAGAGCTTTGCCGTCCTTGTGGTCCTACCCGACTCGATTCCAAATTAGTCGGTTACCTGTGGATCCAGAAACCGGAAGGTCCTTGTACAAAAAAAAAAAAAACAATAAGCTGCCAAATGAGTATTGGGTTGAAGTCGTTCTGTTTGCAGTCTACTTGATAAATCGGTATTACTTGAAGAGTGTTTATGGAAAGACGCAATAAGAAGGTTAGAGTGGCTACAATCAATCATTTCACACTTGTGAGTTTTTGTAAGCATTGCCTACGTGTATGTCGGGGAAACGCACAAACATTATAAGAGCATCCACAATGCTTTGGGTCTCTTTTTGCATATGTGGCAAATAAATAGACTTAAGTCCATAATGACATGGACAAACCTAAACTAAAAAAACCAAAATCTATCCAATGCAAAACAAAAAAGTACTAGGTCTAGAATACATGATGATAGGTCGAAAAATGTGCATGTTTTACATATTTAATAGTGTATTCTTATACGCTTAATTTATTCGCACATTTATATTTTTCGACATATTTATTATTTGGATGAATTTATTTGCTTTGATATTTTATGTGTTATTTTTCAGCCCATTGGGGTATTTTGTAGAACCGAAGCATCGGATCATTATTGGGCTCCCGTACCACGTCAATTAAGCCCAAAGTAGTGTTTAATTAAGAAAAGCCCAAACGTGAACATCAAAAGTGGGGATTTTATTAATGTGAGTGGGCCTGGAGCATATCACGTTTTAGCTAAAGGAGGAAAAAATGATTTCTTTTTTATGGACAAAATGGATTTGGGAGAGTTGTGAATTGTCGGGGGTCTCATGCACGCATTTATTTGGCTGGGAGCACTCCTCATTGGTAACGAATTTTGGAGAGAATAGAAAAGAGAGATCGCAGACAGCAAGCCGCAGTAAAGAGCAGATAAGAAAGAGCTACACACGCAGAGGGAAGCCGCACCCGCACACGAGGGAGAAATTTATCTTCTCTCTTTTATTTTTTTTTTATTTATTTTTATTAGTATGCTAGGCTAGGATTTTTATCCAGTTTTAGGGGATGTTTGAACCCTAACTTCGATTTGTCTATGGATTAAAGGATCTTTGTTTATCGTTGATTAATCTAGACGTCGTATTTATTTTTGTTGATGAGTTGATTCATGTTATCTATGTTTAGTGTTTATGAATTATGAATATTTGATTTGGTTTGGCCAGCTACGTTGATGTTCATAGTTTAATTGCTAGATTCGAGACTTTAATCCGTAATTGTTATTGTCTCGTTTCATTAGTAGTAAACTAGGGGTCGTGCATCCTTAGGGTAACATGAGCATAAGTTAAATGGTCCGAGCTTACGCGTCCGTTGCTTAGACTGATCTATTTTCCTAGGGATTAATGCTGCTAGTGAATTAAATCTAGAGAGCTTATTCTAGGTTGTCCGCTAGTTAGGTTTAGTCGAAGAGCTTATTTCGATTAAATACTCAGTAAGGGAAAATTCGGTTAACAGAGCTTGTTGTTAGCTAGGGTCGGTAATTTATTAGCAATTTAAAGAAAGCGTCAAAATTAATTAACGGTAGATTGAGATTTGGGTGATAACTGAACCGAAAACTGGACTTCTTTTATTTTATTGATTTTTATTTTATTTTTATTATTTTTATTTTTATCAAAACCAAACCCCCCATTTTACTGCTTTCTTAGTTTGAATTCGATTAATACAAAAATTGTTACGACTTAATTCATGCTCCTCGTGGGATCGACCCTTACTCACCGCTACTACTAGTTAGTGGAGGTTTGTTGAGGAAAATATTATAAATTTAAATTTGCCGTGTAACGACGCGCGGTCACATGACAACCAATAAAAATGCTCTAGTATATTTTATTTATTAAAAGAAAAATTAAATGAGGAATAAATGATGAGTGCTTGGGTTTGTACTTGTGTCTAAAATAGACCCAAGTGTGGACTAGGTCTCATTTTTTTATTGCCACATAAGCTAGACTAGGTCCACTTTTAATTGCATTGGAGAACACTTTTTTATAGACTAGGTTTATTTCTTACATGGCATGTAACTTTTTTCTAAGAAACCCAAAGCATTGTGGGTGCTCTAAGGGTGCAAAATACTAAGTCATCATCTATGATAGTTATTTAAATAGCTACAAGCTATACAATCCAAACCACCGAAAGCTTGTGACAACCGAGATGTGGAATTTGACGAAGAAGACATTTTGGTCTAGAATTGCCAAAAAAAAAAAAAAACGATCAACATAATCTATTCTTTGGCAAAGATTAAGAAGGCACGCTTCAACCGGCATCACCGTCGATACCACAATCACAAAACGTACAAGGTGATGAGACGAGCTCGCGTGGTCCGCAAAAATTTATAGACCTGCGAGAGCTATATAAGCCACATAGGAGGTCACAAATTTGAGTGCAACTACTCAACATTGTTTGTTTACGAAAGTTGATCGCATAAGATTTCAAAAAAGAAGAATAATCATATAATAACCAATGATTTTTTATTTTTTTACTATTGAATTAATACACACTCATATTGTGTACTGTATCCCATGATAATGCCTCACGAATGGGTATAACCGAACTTTTCCCTAAACTCTAACGTAAGCAACGACGACTGTGACATCATCATAATTCCCCCCGGTATGCACGACGCCGGCCTCAATAG